CACACACACACACACACACACACACACACACACACACACACAGTCTTGTTGGCTGTCCCTTGATCCCTTATTCGGAGTGGCATGGGCTGATCCCCCCATCGAGTGACCGCAGGGGACTGCCATCGCTATCCGGGTCATGGTCATTAATGACACGCTTCTTGCGAGCATTAGTGTTGCGGTGTCCGTGCTGCAACGCAGTCTTGTCGACTGACAATTTTTTTATGGGCCTTCCACGGCCGCGCCGGGGTGCTTCGGGGGACTCCACTGTTGCCTTCCTCTTCCTGCCTGCCCTGCTCTTCCAGAGCTTGTCATGGTGGAGAGCATCATTCAATTCAGGGAAAGGGGTCGTGCCGATGTCCTCTGCGGCCTGCTGCTCTTTCTGCTGCTCCTTCCCCCTCTCGCTAATTGCAACCTGCTGGTCGGTGTTCTCTCCCTCCACTCCAACTTGTTGCTCCATGCATGGGCGGAGCCTGCGCGTTGCTGTTCTTCCACTGCGTATGCAGGCTCCCCTTGCTGCTGCTCGCCCTTCTCCATGGCAGGCTGGACATCCCCGTCCATTTCCTTCAAGGCCTCGCCCCTGCACTTTTCCTGTTGTACAGCATTCCTCTCCCTCTCCCTGCGTGTAGGGATCGCTGCACGACGGGCCTCCTCCTCAGCGACCTGCCTCTCCACAAGTTCACGATCCCTGTCCTCCATCTCCTTCGCACGGGTGGCCTCTTCCTCGTCCGGATCATCGTGGCGGTGCAGCAAAAACTCTACGTCCGTGTCCACTTTCTCGACGACCGGCATAGGCTCAAGCTCGAGCTCCCTGTCCTGTGGCCTAGTTCGCCTGCCGACATACGTGGTCGCCGGGACTGCAGGCACCACACCGAGCTCGAAATCGGAGTCCTCATCCTCGCTGCAGTCCTCCGATGATGACTCATTCCAGCACTTCCCCTTCCACACCATATCCTCGAGTCGCTGCTGTCACTAGTGTCGGAATCGAGAAGGTTTTGGGGGATCCTGTTTTTTGGACCCTTCGCCATGTTCCTTTGCCTCATATCCTCATCCTCTTTCTCAGCAGCATCCTGAGTATCGGTCGCCAGCGCCGACCCGTCATTCTGTTGTGGCTCCATAATTGGCTCGAAGAACGAACCCCAGACATCAACGAACCTGCTGTCCTTGTGGTGTTGACCTCGTAGCAACTGCATGTTCCAGTGTATGTATACGAGCTTCTCGAGGGATGCTGGGGACAAACTGTTTTGTCTCTTCGTATGGACGAAGTCCATGGAGGCCCAGTTGCGCTCAGCGGGGGTCGCAGTGCTCCACATCCCCATGACCTTGATTGCAATTGCCTGAAGTGTTGGGACATCCCCGTCATGTGCTGCCCACCAGGTCGCAGGGTTAAGCCTCCTCTCATTGTCCACCGCCGGTTGTTTCCACATGTGCTCATCCTTGCGCTTCTTCATAGCTTTCCCGGGCTCCGTGCACACTTGCTCCGTCGCAACCCTCGCGGGCTCTTTTTGGAACTCCAA